TTCCTGGTTCTAACTGTCAGTACAATAAAGATATTTCAGATGGTTCGAAGACACCAGCGCCAGATAAATAGCCAAGCTGAGGCTCTGAGCCATCTTCAATCCAACACAGTGAACATCCTCAAATGCAGGAAATCAGCTGTCACTGTACTTTATATCTACGGCTTGTTTGTGATATGTTATGTCCCTTTCTTTGGAACTCTGATCACAGAGATGTTCCATCGATATACAATCAAGGAACAAATCGCTTACGGTTTTTCAACGACTGTTATTTTCGTCAACTCCTTTATAAATCCCGTAGTGTACTGCTGGAGAATTAGGGCGATAAAAAAAGCTGTAAAGAACATTCTAAGGAGGCGGGGTGGGGAACGGAATGAATAATAAATACCCCTACTCTAGCAAGCCAAAATGATTTCCTTGATGCCAATATGAGGGAGCAAGGGTGGGGATGGGTATGGGAAGCAATGTTGGCGCACTATTGAGAGCACCCCCTCCAATGTGGTCCAGGTTCAAATCCAGGCGTCGACGCCATTTATGGGTTCAGTTTGTTGTTGGTAGTCGTCCTAGCACCGAGAGGTTTTTCTCCGGGTGATCCGGTTTTCCCCTCTCCTCAAATCCAACACTTTCAAATCCCAGTCGATCTGTAGCGTACTGTTGGGAAAGAAATAGGTGATGCTTAACTTTATTATTTTGTGATTGAATATTAATTAGAAATTGACATTTGTAGCGCAAAGAAGTTAGATTTCGTGACATTAGATTTTACAATAATGTAGACAAAGTCCGAGTATATTTACAATAAAAATGATGTAACTGCATGCATTTCTTAGGCTAAATAAGGTGAAAGAACGTGCGATATTGTAAGAGTCACTTAGTTTAGAAACATTACAATGGGAACTTTTACTGCACATCTGATCAATGTAAAAGTACTGCCTTACAGAAGGATAGTAGAAAAAACCTTTGTATTACTTAGAATGTGTTAGTTGTTAGTTGATCGTTGAGTTACGTCGATATTTGATCGTTGATCGTTGTGTTACGACCGTTGAATATGAGAGAATTGTACATCGTAGTAGATTGTTGGATTGGATTAAATCGTGCTGTTACATCGAAAGAGACAGTCCTCTTAACTTGATTTGTTTCAACCAGCGAGCGGGATTAAAAGAGTTCCGCAACACGTACGTACACATTGAAGTGAGTTTTCACTAGAACTCCTAAGTTCTTTGTGGGAACAAATTACAATTAGAAAAATTTACAATGTGACATCAGGTTCCGTACAAGTACTTATTCATCCTGGCTAGCGCCAGGAGGTTATTTCTGTTTCTGTCGGCCAGCGGAATAGAGTCTTTATATTTTGACAAATGACTTGAAAGTGTTTCAAAGTTGGATCTTCCGTTTCCTTTGGATAAAGAGACGAAAACTATACATAGTACCCAACTGTATACACAAGTGTTTCATCTGATTTCCGAACACAGAGAAGTAATATGTGAAACACGAGAAGGAGTGTTCCATCTGATATCCAAATACGGAGAAGTAATACATCAAAGACCAGAAGGAGTGTTTCGTCTGATATCTAGAAACCCGAAAAGCATATTCCAAAAAGCGAGAAGCAATATATGAAAGACGAGAAAAGTGTTTCATCTGATATATGCAAGACACCTAGAAGTAATATATCAAACACGAGAAGGAGTGTTTCATCTGCTAACTAAAAACCCGAAAAGCATAAATCCAAAAAGCGAGAAGCAATATATTAAACACGAGAAAAGTGTTTCATCTGATATATTCAAGACACCTAGAAGTATTATATCAAACAAGAGAAGGAGTGTTTCATCTGATAACTAAAAACCCGAAAAGCATAAATCCAAAAAGCGAGAAGCAATATATTAAACACGAGAAAAGTGTTTCATCTGATATATTCAAGACACCTAGAAGTAATATATCAAACACGAGAAGGAGTGTTTCATCTGATAACTAAAAACCCGAAAAGCATATTTCCAAAAAGCGAGAAGCAATATATTAAACACGAGAAAAGTGTTTCATCTGATATATTCAAGACACCTAGAAGTAATATATCAAACACGAGAAGGAGTGTTTCATCTGATATCTAAACACCCCAAAAGCATAAATCCAAAAAGCGAGAAGCAATATATTAAACACGAGAAAAGTGTTTCATCTGATATATTCAAGACAGCTAGAAGTAATATACCAAACACGAGAGGGAGTGTTTCATCTGATATCCAAACACCAAGAAGTAATATATCAAAAACGAGTAGGAGTGTTTCATTTGATATCTAAACACCGAGAAGCAATATATTAAACACCAAAAGAAGTGTTTTATCCGATAGCCAAACACCGAGAAGTATATATCCAAATAGGACTATTTGGCCCTACCACGAATACAAGAACGTGGAACAAACGTGTTAGCCAAATTTTCAAGAACCTGAATTATAAACACATTATAAATACCATTACAGCATTGTTAAATTGAAAAAGAGCCCGCCCTTAACAGTGAACTAATTAAAAGATAAGGTCGTCAAATTTCCCAGGTCCTAATAGTTTTTACATTGTTTGCTTAAGTTCCCCGTCGATAAGTTAAGCATTATTCCAGCGTTTTAGAAGCATTTTCCAGTGATCATTTTCTCTGAAAAAAAAAAGAATGGTAACATTGTTTAAGAAAACTCGAAAGAAATTAGGTTAAATTCCACTTTAATGCCTCCGTGTCTAGGATCATTTTTTTGCTGTATTGAAACTATTAATGAGTATATACCAGATTGAAAAAACTCTGTCGCTTGAAAAGTATAAGCCATACACGACGAGACTAAATGGATTTATGGGTAGAATTATATTAGCGTTGCAAATTCAACCTCTCTGGGTAACTTTTCTTGCTGATTCAACCTCGTTTCCAGGGTTTTTGTAAATTTAGAGTTCTTTCTAGAACAGCTTACATTATCTTGTTCTTTCTAGAACAGCTTACATTATCTTGAGCTTCTTGTGCGGATGCCAGTCCCAGGAATACTTATGTTAACCCTTCCGCTAAACTTTTATGGCTCATCTTACGATTTTCAAGTTTTTCTTGGTCATGAAGCAAGTCTCTATCACTAGAGACATCCCTGAAATTTTATCGAATTTTACCTTGTTGAAATGCATTGGTTTGAGAATCGTGTGATAGTTTAAGCCGCGAGCTCTTAATTTTCAATGCTAATAAACTTCTACCTATAAATACATTTGAAACCCTTATTATAGGAAATTAACGCTCCATGAAATTAAGGTATTGGAAATTGACGCGACTTAAGTTAACGCGAATTTTAAGGAAAACGACTTTCGAATAAAGAAAATTAACGCGAAAGAGGAAGTAGAGTTTCATAAAAAGGAAATTAACGCGATTATCTTGGCCGAAATCAAAGGAGAAGATATTGACATCACTTCTGACAGTGACACCGATGAAGATGGACTCGAAATATTGTAAACCTTTGCCTTAGCTTTTGTGAAAGATGAAAAATAAAGGGTAAATGGAAAGAAAGAAAGCTTGTAGTTAATGTTTTTTAGGTGTCGCGTAAATTAACGATCAACAAAATTAACGCGAGTTAAATTAACGCGAATTTTAACGATTCGCGTTAATTTCATGGAGCGTTAATTTCCTATAATAAGGTAGGTCTCATAAACTCATTGTTTATAATTTGCAATCGAAAGAGTTTTTTCAAGCAGGTGTATACAATGTTGCCATACCACTTAATACATACTGTTTTGTTAGCCTTAAACTCTCTTAAATTGTTGAATTAAAACAAACAACTCTCTTTATCATAAGACAAATCCGAGAATTGGTGGTTTAACAAGCATTTTAGTGCGAAGAATGAGCATTAAGGTTGAGCATTTTAAGGGAAAATAAAAACATAATGTGAAATAAGCTTTCAAAATTACTTACGAGGGCCCATTAGTCATTTGTCAGCTAGCGTGCTTACCAGTAAACACGAAACATGCAGTTGAAAACGTCGGGTTGAAAAGGCAATCTTAGAAGCTTTTAAGAGTCAAAGTGTGCACAAACACCGCACAGAATAACATAAGAACACCGCAAACCGCATTGAAATTACCAGAAAATTTCTAAATACCGCAAACTGCTTGGTTTTGTAAAACCGCAATACCGCAACTCGAAATAAAAATCATTTCCGAAGAACCGCGCTAAAAATCGAGCAGAACCGCATCACTGCACACCCTTACGCCCTCCTCATTGCTTGGTCTCACCACCAGACTGATTTTAAGCAAGGAAGCTTTTTCAACTGATTTTTCTGAATATTCCTAGCAACCAATCTCATAATAATTCACAATGCATTTTTCTGTGACGTCATCACTTCTTTATGCGGAAAAAGATATACTTTACGAGGTGGAGTGATACTTTTCTTGTCAAAAGCTATAGAGGGTATAAAATTCAAGTCACAGGTGGCCATATTGAACCTTGAGGGCGTGGGATTAAGTTTAGCCTATTAGAGGGTGCATATTGAAGAATATGCAGAGAAAGCATTGACAAATACGCAGTCGGATTATCATGTTTTATTAATGTTAACGTGAACATTTGGCTTCATTGGTGTTTATAATTAAAAACTTATAAGACTTCACACAGCTTTAAACACTGCAGTCTAGACGCCATCGATTTGTGAAATTTCGCGAAGTCTTTCTTAAGTCAACATTGCTAGATTCGTTTAGCTTGTGGATAAATGGAATTCTCACCAAAGTCGCATGAACAAACTCAAATTTTGCGGTGCTTCTTCTTTAGCGAGATCAACTTGGACAAAACGGACGAAGGAGTTCTTACAGCAAATTTCTTAACGTGTATCATAAACGTGCTGTTTTCTGTGATAACATGTACTGGGAATCTGTTAGTCCTTCTTGCAATTGGAAAAACGCGATGTCTCCACACGCCATCCTACGTCCTTTTGGGTTGTCTGGCAGCTTCCGATCTTCTTGTTGGCCTGATATGCCAGCCATTGTTCGTGGCTTCAAAAATAGCCGAGCTTATGAATAATTTTAGTCTGCATTGTACGTTGAGAATGCTCTTGTCTACATCAAGTTGGATAACATCCACTGCATCTTCAGCCACCATGGTTATCGTGTCGGTGGACCGCCTTCTTGTTTTAACACTTCATCTACGATACAACAGTTTTGTCACGGTTCCACGTGTTTTTCAAACCGTTCTGGGTGTCTGGATCTGTTCTATAACCTTTGCATTATTGAGATTCCCTTTAAGAAATAGATGGTATTTTATTTTTATAGCAACCTTTCTTCTTGGTTTTCTTGTTTTGTCGATCAGCACCTACAAAATATTTCACATCGCCCGACGGCACCAACGTCAGATAAGAGATCAAAACATGGCCTTCAGCCCAGTTGAACTAAACAGAGTGAATGTCTTCAAATGTAGAAGATCTGCCGTGACGGTAATTTATGTTTACGGTCTTTCGATGATACTCCATATACCTCATTTTGTAACAATAATTGTCGCAACTGTTAATGGCTACTCGACAACAATACAGATTGCTTACACGTATGTATCTACTGTTATTTACATCAACTCTTTTTTGAATCCATTTGTGCACTGCTGGAGAAATAGGGGAATCAGAAGGGCTGTGAAGACTATCGTAAAAAGGGAATCATATGATTAAGAAGTATCCCCAGGAGCACCCAACGACGTTTTTGCGTGAAATAACTGTGGGAAGGAGGAAATATTACTTAGAAAAATCTGAAGAACGGTGACCGGACGTTTCGCCTATGATACGTTTCGCAAACGTCCCTTTCGCTAAACGCCTTATATATGTCGTTCCGTTAAGAAGCGAATCGAGCGCTGTGCATGTATATGCTTCGTTCTCTCAGCCATGATACAAAAAGCAACGTTCGTCGAATTTTCGACCGGACCCATAAAGGTCGCAAACGTTTTCTGATGAGAAGAAAAATATGCACCTAGACTTTCGAGACGACGAAAGTTCACGTAAGACGTCCAAACATAAATAAGTTTTACGGCAGCTTCAAATATACCAAACAGGCCTCTAAATCATAGAGAAAACCATTCGAGACACTTCCGATATATTTTCTTCGGAAACAAAAAAGTTTTAGATGACTCCTTAGATGCATGGCTTTTTCGTCTCATCCGAAACTGTTAGCTACCCTGACGAGTCGTGTCGAAAGTTCTAGGACATGGAGTAGCTGTACTTTCTAGTCTAGGGGACGTTTTTTCTTTAAATATATAACGAAATTCAAGAGTTGATCAAGACACCTTTTTAAACTGCAAAAGCAATGGAAAGTCTAGAGGACGTATTCTGAGTTTTGCTACGAAAGCGTCTCTAATAATCTCTCTAATAACTCAAAAGGTAAAAGTAAAACTTTTCTATCACAATGACTGTTTAGATTGCAAAATACACTAAAATAGTCACTTTTATGGGATGGCTCTCGCGGCGGTTGCTGCGAAAACGAAGACCGCCGAAAAAAGTCGCCACGTAGATGCGGCATCAAGCAAAAGCTCAGAAATTCAAGCGTACTCTATTACAAAACGAAGAACCCTATCGAAGTAAAATTTTGAAAACATATTAGTTCTTAGCTGCTCTTAAACTTCATGAATGTAAAAACTTCGGAGGATCGATAATTCTTTAGACTGATTTTGATAACGTCATATGAAAACCATCAATTTTGAGTAGTGTAGGAGCTGCTCATAAGGTCTCTCCTAATTGGTCGCAGAAAACAATGACATGTCATTCTTCCAATTGTTTTTGTATTGTTTGGAGTCAGGGAAACGCACCATTGGTGACTTCTCTTCTCTGAGCAGTACGATTCCATATAATTTATGAGGGTCTCAATGGGGTTAACCGTCAGCCATCAAACGGCCTAAAATTTAACTGTCAAGTCCTAGGGGGTAGCCAGGCGCGGATTCAGGATAAATATTGACCGATTTCCTGAGAACGAGCACCGAAGGCGCAAGGTTCTAGTGGGATGCAGGGGCATGCTCCCTACAAATCGGCGGATTTTTCCATCTCTCGATTTCAACTTGGAGAGATTTTTCATATTAAAAATATATTTATCATGAAAACCCTGACTGATTTCCGTAAGACGGTGGAAACCTGTGTGGATCCGCGCCTGGTAGCACTTCCTCATAAGAGGCTAATGGGGATGTGCCGCTGGATGGGGTCGCATTTTCACGACTGGATTGACTATAATGGGGTCGCATTTTCAATAGAGTTACTAGGTCTTACATTTTCGGATTTTTTGAGTTAAGAAAGTTCTTCATATTTACGGTTAGCAAACATACCAGACTGTTTTTACAGCGGATGAAACGTAAAGTGTTCTTCATTCAATCGAAAAAATGGGTCAATTCATAAAAACAGAAAGTTGGGATCGCGAAAATACACATTTGCCTAAAGAGACTGAGATGGGGTCTATAATTGGCCACAGAATAGTCTATAATGGGGTAGTGGCTCTAAGAGGCCAGCGGCACATACCCAGCAAAAATTTACCCAATTACCCCTCCCAGGCGTCAAGTCTTTAAGTTGATACTAGTCTATACAGAAATTACCAAAGCTCTCAAATTTAACCATCAACCGTCAAAACTGGAAAAAATCAACCTCATATATAAATTATTACAGTGCAGACATTCAAACTGGAACACTTGGAACAAAATTGTCTAATCACAGAGCTGAACGTCTTCTTAAAACAAAAGATTCTCAAGTTTTTTTTCGCAAACGGACCAATAACAATCTTAAATTTGAGGGCTGTTTACCGAGAGGTCAGGGAAGTTCAAACGGTTTTAAAGTTTTCAAAGGTTGCCTAGTTAAACCTTGAATTTTATTGGTCCGTTGCAAAAAAAAAAACAAAAAAACAAAAACAACACTTGAGATAGGACAATCTTCTTTCGAGTGTCCCAGTCTGAGAGTTTGCACTGTAAAATTTCTACTCCTAGCCCCGTTCCCCCCCCCCCAAAAAGGAAGAGAAACTAAATTAACATGAACAGACGTTTATTAATAAACACTAAGTGACACTCAAGCGAATTTCACTAAACATAATAATTATTTTTGTGCATGGGCCTATTTTATCTCTTGCACAAGAGTCTCAATCTCCTCTTTTGTAAACATCCTGAACTTTTTGTCTGGTGTGGCAGTTGCAAGCTGAAACAAAAATCAAAATTGAAATCAATTTGAAAAACTTGGCTTGAATTTTTCAAGTTTCAATCCATGTCCATCCTTGCCATCCATAGCAACAGATGACAGGAAACAGTTTCAATGCCTAAATATAGTCTTAAATAACAAAACTGGACCATTATTTATGAAGTGTAACGAATAAGGGGTGAGGGTAGGGGTGAGCGGAGGAGTGGGGAGGGGTGAGGCTTATTTGGGAGGAGTGGCTTAATAGAGGATTTACTGTAACTGTCAGAAAAAAATTCATACTTCCAATTATTTTTCTGAGAAGTGGATTGAAAATCAAAGCACCAGAAATTGAACAAGAATATCAGCTCTTTATACTTCCTTAAACAGGCAACATATCAATGGAGCAGCAAGGATTAGAATGCACCAATCACAGCCAACCATCGTGATAAAAATAGAACAGTGTTATCATACCACCTCATTGTGTTAATATACTGGCAAATGGGAACTAAGTAGCTTTTTCTACCTACACCCCTCTCACCTCCACATTTGTAGCATTGAGTTTTTCCTCCATGACTTGCTTGAGTATCGTAAGAGCAGATTTGCATGCCTCCTTCAGAGTCATTGACTAAAAGTACGACATAGAACTTCAACTCAGTCATGAGTGAACTACTGGATTTAAATAGACTACAATTTTTCCCACTTCCAACTAAGTCTTTAATTTTGATACACAAAAATTTTATGCTTCATATACAAAGGTACTTAAAAAGCCGATCCATACATGGGGTGGGGCTCTCTTCTTGAGAGAAAGGATTTCTTGTTAGTCTTTTGAAAAAAGGACCATGTCTTGCTAATCTCAACACTCAAAATGAAGCACGAAGATTACATCATAAAGATATTCACACCCAATTTAGTTTTAGTGCATTCCTGTGTGATCGGTGCTCTCTAGGGAGATGAATTAAGCTTAAAAGACGACTGTCAGTACATTCTGCTCTTCACACTTGATCAACTGCTCACGAGAACAGACAGTACTAGCCCTCCCATCCTACCCTTAGTGCTTGAAATTTGTGGTCGAACTCTATCACTAACAGGTTTGCACCTTCTCCTTTGCACTCCATATGCTCCCATACCTCTATTAAACAATGACTGCATGAAGCCAGAGTGCTGGAAAATGAAAGGCTATTTAAGAGCAGAAATAATTTTTTTATTTGTGCAATGCACTACTCAATTACAGATAAAATCATTGGACAGAAGAAATTCAATCACTCTTCCTCCACTTCAATTCATCCTAAACTGACTAAAATATATGTAGCCCAAGTTTTTTGTTTGTTTGTTTTTATTTCTGCAATGAACGGGGCCTTTTTGGTAGTGTTATATCACAAGCAACAATGTTCAGTGTGCAAAAAAACAGTTAGTACCTTATGATATACTTCTTCTAGTGCCTGCTGTGCTCCTTCAGATCCTGAGCCTGTAATTTGTTCAAATTCATCAGCAAAATCACCAACCAAATTATGAGTCTGATTATCCAAACAAGAATTCACAGCTTAAACTAAACTATTTACTCTACAAGCAAAGCTTTGCTAGTATGTTTTTCACAGCAAGTTATTTCTTGTATGAGAGGTAAGCTTCCCAAAAAAGATGGGATAATGTTTTCAAACAACAAGCTGAAAAATCAGTTCCCCATTTATAGAACTCATCCTCTTTGCTTACCCACCCCAGCAGACAGAGTACAAAGACGCAGCTTAAATGTGCTGGAAGCACTTCATAAACCAGTAACCAATGCAATACTTCAATACTTCAATGACATTTTCAAGTCTTCCATAAAATTTCTACTAGAGATAATTATGCTCAGGCAAAATGTTGTGCTCGAAGATATTCATCTGTCTTGCAACTGACAAAACCGCTCACATTTTAAGGTAGTTTCTGAGTATTTATTTCAGTCCTTAGCAAAAGCAGGTTTACAGCATATTAGAATATAAACCCTTAAAATATGTTACGGATTTAACAGTTGATATTTAGTGCTTGGTATACCTATCGCTTTTGCGTCATATTGGAAAAAAGTTCCAGATGGGTCCAGGTGGTAACTGAGAATAATAAAAAAGAGCAAAACATCATTTAAAATATATTATCCAGGGTGGGCTTGTAGTTCTATGTTGTCACTAAAAGTTTTTCTTTAAGTAGCCAGTGGTGGATCAAGGGAAGGGGCCGAGGGGGAAACCCCCCTTATTTTTAGACCAAAATAATGCCTGAAGGGCTAAAAAAAAATTTTTTTTGAGATCTGGCACTCCTCTTATCTCAGCGTCTGGGTGACTGCTGCTCACCCCCTCCCCCCCTTCCCCAACCCCAATCTGAAGGTGTGGATCTGCCACTGGTAGGATAGTATATACAGAGAAAATAGAAATCAGACCATGCATCAAGTGGTTGCTTTCAAGGTTAAAATCCTTAAAAACTACTTTAATTTTTTCAAACTGTCAGCCTCAAAACAAGGTAGCTTACAAGAGGTGGCCATTTACAAGAAGTTCCGACTGTAAGGTACATCGACTGCGAAAACTTAGATTTTGCTTGAGGGAGGTGGTTGCTTACACACATAGAGGTTTAACTGTATTTCAATTCTCAAGGGTTCCTCTACATTCACCCTAGTTTTGGTAAACATAAACAATGAAAGGCAACTTTGGAAGGCAATCTTACAGTTGTGGTCCTTTGGAATCCACTCCACCAAAAAGTAATGCCACTCCAAATGGACGACTCTAAGGGAAAAAATAATGACAAAACAAAGATTTATGTCAAAACTGCAATTTGGAGCAGTGTCTTGTCACAGATTTAACTCAAATCAGCTTCAGCATTTCATTGTCTTTTGAGCTGCTTCCATTAGCACTAGAAGGGTTTATGGTTATACTGATGAAAGGGAAGACCATACATGTAGAATGTTACTTTGTTAACTCAGAAAAGAAAATCAAAGGACTCCCTACCATTGCTCCTTCTCTTGCATCATCATCTCCAAACTCAAGTGCAAGATTTGACACTGCTTGTGTGACGCTTTCTACACTCATCTGTTCATTGTACGTAAACCAGTGATTCTATAAAGGCACAGAACCATCATTAAAAATTAACATTATATTAATGAAATTAAAGGAAGTGTGGGTGCAACGAGATCAACAAAAAATAGCTTGAAGTGTGCATTAACCCTTTCAGCCCTAAGAGAATCATCATCAAGTTACTCCTAACATTATCAATACAGAATCAAGAGAAAAAGTTATGAGAATTAATGAAATCATCAATTCATCATCAATTTTCTCCTAAATGTATCAATATACTATCAAGAGAAAAAAATGAGAGAATTTAAGAAATGATAATCAAAGGGAGGATGCTTTGATCTTAGAACAATTTCTCTCAAATAATTCTTTAAGGAAATGTATGGAAATCAGTCTTGAGAATTTCTATGTGAATATTCGGGCTTCACCTGTGCCTCCACCCTTGCTTTGTCAACCATTGTTCTTGAATCAGCAATCAGGCCACTCATGGCACAACCTCAAAACAAAAAACCGTAAACTAAGGTCAAAATTTTATAAGGGTAATGACATTTTTATCATGTGACTTTGTAAGAAGAGTTACCTAGCATAACAATGCTCTTAGAATCTGAGTGAGAGTTAAATTTTGAATGACAGCTTTGAGCTCCTTTACAACCATTTTCTGAGAGCACAACCTTGGCTTTATCACCATATATACCACAAAACTCACGGTAAAAAAGCTTTTATTTTCACTATGCCAACTGCTACATATTGTAACTTAAAAACTGTACGCAATAAATCCCCAAGCAGATCTGTGCATAGTCTCCTTCACAGCCATTTTCAGGGTCGTCACACAATGCAAATGCTTTGTGGGGAGGAGCATTTGGTGACCACCCTAAAACGGCTGCGAAAGAGACTAATCTGTGCCAGACTCGTCATAAGAAAAGAATCCTTGTGGTTTAAATCTTTTTTAAAATGACCTCCTCCAATAACCGACCACTAGATCTTAGCATTTTTTGAAAAATCGCTCATGGGAGGTTCCACTTAATTGATGTATTTACAACATTGCAAGATGTTGTGATACCTATATGACTGTCTATTTCCACAATCTTTTCAACACTGTTTGGCTCCATGAGTGGAGAGGTAATTCGTTTTTCAACAGCAAGAACAACACCTTCTGATGTTTGTATACCAATCGCAGTTGATCCAAGCTAAAAACACAAAATCTGATTATCAGCAAGAAATTGTACATAAATTGTATAGACTGAAACTCTGTAAAAAGTGGTACTATTTTTGTGCTTAGGTTCAAAAAACATTTGACATCATTACAACAGTTTTTTTTGGTTTTCCTTTCTGCCATGTGGTGAAAATACAATAAAACTTGAGAATAATAATGCCATCAATGTCAAGCTCCAAGGTGTGGGGGCTTATTATATGTTTTAGAGAAACTCCCCACCTACCCCTCCCCTAAGCAGACATTTTGCCCTAAGTGAGCAGTAAGTGTTAATGTTAGCTTAGGGGAGGGGTAGGTGGGCAGTTTTCCAGAAACGTATAATGATGCGGTGTAGGCAGGTAACATGAGAAAACAGCCATCAATGCCACAATGCCACCAATGATTTCCCTGAAAAAATGACACCTCAAGGTTTGACTGCCCCAACAACACAGCTGGCCATGCTAAGGTGTTACTTTTCCCCTTGGGTTTACCATTAGTAGTAGATAAAAAAGAGCCACGGATAACATACCATGGAAAATACCATTTACTGTGATATGAACCATACTACTTAATATATACAACTGTCATGTGAGGAGAAATCAGATGTGATGACTCTTAATAATCAAGAGTGATCAAATGACTGACTTACTTTGATAGCTTCTATGGCATATTCCACTTGAAAAAGCCGTCCTTCTGGCGAGAAAGTGTTAACTCCTCTAATAGGATAATACAAGCAAGCGTAAAAATAATTAGTTCACTAAACGTTACAAATCTTTATAAAAGTTAAGCTTACGTACAAAGTGCAATATATTTTTTCGAGGTCCTGGCAAAATTACCAACCTGTCGTACTCTGATCTTGTCAGAAACATAACGAAGACTGCAAAGCTTCACAGTTGAAAAAATCTTCCAGGCTATTACCGTGATAAAGCTGATTAAAAGCTTTTTTAGAGAGCCACGAGGAACAAAATCTGTCAAATAAAACAGCTGAGTAAAAAACTTTGAGTTGGACAACGAAAAAGAAATCATATAGCAAAATCTGTAATATGCTTACCCTTCAAAATAACTTGCGCTGTGTAGAGAGTCTAAGATCCGAATTGGGAGCTAATTTATACTAAAAATGGCAACTTTCAAGAGATTTTTGACCAGAAAAGCTTACCAAGTATGAGGGTGCAGGATTCTTAAAAGCCGACTGTCATAATTGTCAGCGCTATTCCTTTATAATACATGCCTGATTTTATTCGGCCCATTCCCCTACTGAACACGCACTTTCCTGGCGTTTCAACATGGCGTCTCCTTTCGCGTTTCGTCTTGGCGTGAAAAATGCCGGTAGATTAACAAACCTTTTTTCGTTAACACCAAAGGTATGTCTTTTTTATTCACTTATTATCTATCATCCTTTTTGTGTGTTTCCTGTGAACTCTTACTGTCTTTTGACGATTCTAAATAACATTGATCGATCTTATGTCATGATCATCCAGGGTAAAGCCGGCGTATTGGCCTGCAAACGGTTTGGGTCAACTGCTCTTTCATATGAACAGGTAAACGTCTTCCTTGTTCTTAAAAAAAATGCTATAATTGTGTTTAAGACCTCAGATTATACCGAGCTGGCAATCAAACTAGTAATTGTGGGATGATGAAATTGACTTGATTGTATAAATTTATGCTTAATAGACCATTTTACAGTTGTGGACTTAGTACCCTAGAATTCGAGTCAACGTGAGGCTGACGGTGACCTTGTTTTGAAACAAACCTCCTTTGCTTTGTTATGGAAATTGTCCTTGAAAAATTCTAGTTGGCATAAACTTGATTTACAAAATAAAGCAATAAGGTTTGTATCAAAACAAGGCAACCATCAGCCTTGCTTCCATCCATAACTGTTTGGCCTATTGTAACACTGATTTTCCGCCGGGTCTTTTCTGGAACTGCCAAGTAGGTGAATGTAAATAACCTTGGTGAGGTACAAAACCAGCAAAAGATAAGACGTTTTAGTATTTTGAGCAGTGTATTTCACTTTATGGCCACAGAATGATCAAACCATTATTCTTCACTCAAAAATATAGCTTCAAGAGTTATAGTTGTACTGGTAGTAAGAGTGTCTGTCTATTTAAATCTCTCATAAGCAAGTAGAAAATGATCACCTGTTGTACCATCCTCACAGATAAAAAATCTTTCCCTGTTCTCTGAAGAAAATTCACTGAAATTCAGGTCTCCCAAATTAGACTTTTTCCCCAGGGAGGACCCAAGACCTCTGCCCTGGAGGGAGGTGATTCACCCTTTCCATATATACCCCCACAGGCGAGACGTTTTCTATCTAATCTATTACTGCCTTATGTACATTTGTATGGAACTATTTTCTTATTCTTTGTTGAATGTTCTGGAGAACATTGATAGTTATTTGGATTCAAACCATAATTAATTTGTTGCTGCTTTTACAGTCTTTGTACAATGTTCCTGAGACTAAAGTCACAGTTCTTCCTAATGGAATGAGAGTTGCTAGTGAAGATTCTGGACTGTCTACAGCAACGGTAGGTTTTGGCAGAGTATATTGTACCAGTTAATTTGTCCTTAAGTTGAAAATGTAATGCTGTGGTGTATTTGGGCAAGTTGGTGCCTCACCTATTTCTACAGCTTATTCCGTTAAGTACCAAGAGTTCAACTAACATCGATTTTCTGCTAACAATGTCAATAGATAATCAAGAGAGAGAGTAATGAGAATTAATGAAATGATCACAAGTGGGAAAGTGCGTTGATTCTCTTTTACCAAATTCTCCCAACCAACTCTTTAAGGAAAAGTATGGAGATCACTCTGGTGAAGTTGTATGTGGATGTTGGGACTCACATGTAAATGGTTAAAGCAGCTAAGGGTATTGCTACTTGCCTTTGGAAAGAATGTTATTTCATTTGATTAGATTTGTCAATTCTTGGTAATTTAGTGGTGTGCTGATCATCGATTATGATCGGTCTTTGATCAAAATCTTTAAGTGATGGGATGACCAATATCATGGAAAATGTTCAATTTTTATTGATTATTGCAGAAAAAATAAAATTTCTTCTTGGCAAATAAGCATACATTTTGTATTAATTGGAAACTTGTGTGTTGTCTTTTAAAATAATAATCTCATAATTAAAGAGGAAAGAGAATTTGATTACCCAAAAGCACAGAAAAAATGCTGAGCTCAGTGGTCCATAGTCAAAAGACTAAAAAAGCTCGTATTTCATGTACTTTAACTTGCGCAAAGGTGAAAAATAGATGGAATTCATACACTGTATAAAGAGATTTTCTGATTGTAATCGATGGTTCATTGGGGAGTGGGTAGACCAATCCGATTATTTCAGATAATTGATTATGAAAATCTCAGTTGATTCCCAACACTACTTGACCGGGTAACCACAGCAGCATGAAACTACTCTGTAATTATAGTGGTTCTGTGATGTCTCTTAAAAGTCGTTGTTATACAACTGTAGGTTGGTCTTTGGATTGATGCTGGCAGCCGATTTGAAACAGAGAAGAATAATGGAGTTGCTCATTTCCTTGAGCATATGGCATTCAAGGTATTATTGTCTGTTTGGTACATTATTAAGTTAAAGTAAAGTTTCCTTTGTGCAGGCTTATGGGGGAGTGAATAATTGCCTAGGTAAACAATAATGTGTTATTGACCAAGCATGATGTCGAATATTGAATATTGGCCAAGTTCCTTTTTTGTGCTTTTATGGACCAAGATGAAATCGAGGTCAATAACACTGCAAAAAAAGAAGGAGGCCAATATCAAGCCATTTTGAGGGTATAACAGGGCGCAAAGAAAATCATTTTTACAGCTTGCCATTTGGGGAAGCTGAAGCTAGCATTTACTAACCCAGAAGTCATTTCAACTAGCCCCAAAAACTTTTTGACTCGCAGAATTGATTTCGCAGTTCTTCTGTTATTAGAATTCCTCAAAAAACATCACTTATCCGTCGGGCAAGTTAAAAACAGAATTCACTAGCCCAATAGCAAAATCCACTAGCCCTGGGCTCTCGACACTACTTTCTTTGCACGCTGGAACCAGCCTGGTCAATAAGGGATTTATTATATGGCTACAGAAGAAAACTTTTCCCTACAGAACTGATGTGGGAAATCCTGAGCGGGCAAGATGGGCCCATCTTGCTCGCTTGCATAGCCAATCAGAACTCAGGATTCATTATTTTCATCTTGCCCACTTGAGAATTCATCCATTATGATAATCTATGACATTGACCACTAAGCTTATTTTTTCAAGATAGAATATTGGTCAAGTCCTTTTTATGATCTTACCGGACACAAGGAGGTTAAGGTCTTCAAATTGCACACACAAAAAAACTGAAATAAACTTAGTAACTGAAGAGATTACACCACTTCAAGAACAACTCATCTTTTCCTCTTGTGGATGCAAAGCAAGGCATGCAGTAATAAACAGTAGACAAGGAGGAGTAGTTTCCAGAGTTCGAAACTAGCAACAAAACTGTCTAGTTTTTTACGTTACCACAAACTACCTTGTACGTTAAAGCCAAGGCAATTTTTTTATCAATGAGAATTTTATTTCAGGGTACCAAGAATCGTTCTCAAACAGATCTTGAATTGGAAGTAGAAAACATGGGAGCTCATCTGAATGCTTACACATCACGTGAACAGACTGTTTACTATGCTAAGGTCTTCAGCAAGGACATTCCAAAAGGTAAAAAGTTTCAAGAGGCTGCAAGTTTTTTGGAGAACATTTTCTCCATGCATTTAGGGATACAAGGGTTTTATTTGCTATTTTTTTTTTAGTGTTAATTTTAACAATAACGTACAAATGTGTATGTGTACTTGAAAAAATGGGAAAAGTGACCTTCTGTTCACAACGGCCTTTTCAATGCATGCCCTCAGTTCTTAGAGCCTTGGTGCTACATGCTACAGATGCTACATGTAATGCAGTGTAATTAATTAAATTAATGTTGTGGAATATTACAGCTGTTGACATCCTAGCAGACATCATTCAGAACTCAACTCTTGGTGAGGCTGAGATTGAGCGAGAGCGGGGTGTGATCCTCCGTGAAATGCAAGAAGTTGATACACAGTTAGAGGAAGTTGTGTTCGATCATCTTCATGCCACAGCATACCAGGGTACCCCGCTTGGTAGAACCATTCTTGGTCCTACCCACAATGTCAAGTAGGTGCAATTTTTTATAGAGTTTATTTTCAGTGGACTGCTTACTTTTTAAGGGTGGCCTAGTCTAAGAAAACAGCCGACAACTCGCGACGCCACCATTTGTTTCCCTGCGAAATGACATCTGAGGTGACATGTATTTAACTTACTGTATTTATTCGAATAAGCGCCCAACCTTGAATTAGCGTCCACCTCGAATAATTGCCCATCCTAACGGCAGAAAAAGTTAATAAGCGCCCACCCGCACCCCACCCTCTACCCCCTCCCACCCCCAAAAAAATGAATAAGAGACTTCCCCGAAGACGTAGTTTTCTTCAGAGTATTTTACAGAAACCTTGCTTTGTTACATCGTCGCCTTTTGTTATTACTATTTTTTGTTTTGTTGCAAAATAAACATACTGAACTTGCTGAAAATGGTGAAAATTTAATAAGCGCCCACCCTCGATTATACGCCCACTCTCAAGGTCCAAAAATTTAATAAGTGCCCAGGGTGGTTAATCGAATAAATATGGTATTAACTTAATATTATGTCATCTGTCGGGTCAGGAAGTTGTCTTTGTCGCGTCATTGACCTGAGACCCGTCTCTTTACTGGAATTCTGCAAGGGAAACCAATTGCATTATTGAACGGATAGAGATTCACCCAGTGGATAGAGTTATCCACCATTTGAACAACTGGACCTAGGACTTTTTCAAGCTGTGTGTATAACCTGTTGGTTTCAATTTTACTTTGTAGGACTATAACTCGTGATGATCTTGTTGAATACATCAGCAAACACTACAGTGCCCCAAGAATGGTACTGGCAGCTGCCGGAGGTACTTCATGCATTCTGCTTTTTCTTTCTCCAGTAGTAGTTTTAGACTGTCTTACAGTCAAACCAGGTCAAGCGTTCCCGTCGCTAACGAACTAATGAATTCATTCACGGAAAAATGATTTCGTTTGTCGATTCAATAATCCATTCATAAAATGAACAATCCAATAGTCATATTTAGCCTCGATTCCATAATCAAATGTTAATTCGATTACTGTTTTTTGAAAAATTACACTTTCCACAAGTTGACCTCAGAATTTTGTTTTTTCCTCTTTTTTTTCTGAGAGTCGAGTGCTGGCGAGTTCTGAAGTTCAAACCCAAACAAACTGTTACATGTACGCCAGTTTGCTGCCAATAATCAGTGCAACAGACCTAGGCCTGACCTCTTAGAAAACACGACGGTCAAACTGAGGTCAGTGTATGTGCGGTGATTGGTGGATTTTGATCCTCGGCCTTTGTCAGTTTCTTTGCGTTTGCGGTCTGTCTATTCTAGCTGTTATTTTGATTAAAGGCAATGAAAAACGCAATCGTAAACGGCAGGAAAAGGGACGCAAATACGATTGAACACAACAGACAAGAATAAAGAACAGGTAGATTTTGTTCATAAACCAAATCAACATTTGATTATTGAATCGAGGTACAATTTGACCGTTGGATTATTCATTTTATGAATGGATTATTGAATCAACAAACGAAATCATTTTTCCATTAATGAATTCATTAGTTTGTTAGTGACGGGAACGCTTGACCTGGTTTGACTGTAAAGAGATCTTTAGACATAACATAGCTTAACAAGTCCATTGCATACTTGCACAGCAATTTATTCTGGCTCTGCTATACAACCAGACAGGGGACCTTTTTGAGATTTGAGTTTCATCATTTGAGGATAATTATCCTTGCATAACTAGCAGTTTCCAGTGGAAAGTGAAGTGCTGTGAGTAAAGCATGACATTTCAAATGGTTTGAATCAGCTACAATTTCTTTTGATTTTTGATATTTGCCATTAACAGTGTCAAGTAACTCAGCATGTAACGCAACACTACACGTAGGTGAAAAAAGTGTGTTTATCAAGCTAAAATTGTATAAAAGTCCGTGAGAATAAATCAGCATATTATTTGTCTGAAACCTGTCCACAATAAGGTTTAGAGCACGTGAGTGATGGAGTAAGTGAACGAGTGAATTTCCTATCAAGTTCAATATTAAACTGGTTTGTTATGCTTCGCGGGCGTATCAAATCATTTTCAATCTTTGCTTCTGCCTTTTATCAAACATTTTACTACCAAGGGGAGAATAAACCTTGTTACACGTCCCAGAAACGTCTTAATAAATAAAGCAATTTATCAGTTAGCTTAAATAAATCCAACAAAGCCTGGCTGAATACAAATTTGGCCAAAACACCGAATTAAATATTTACCACAGAGTTCCAGGAATTGCTTCAAATATTCTAAGAAACATATCGCTTCAATTCACAATAATTTTTTACCTTCAATTGCATTCATACTCTTTGCTTGCAAAAACGTGGCTTTCTACACGAAACAGGATTTCTTCACCTCAAGTTTTCCACAGCCCACTTTTTCAACATTTGAGTGTTCTAGAGGATACAGTATTTACTTTTTCCTTTCGAATGTAATTTTGAATCGATTGGCTGCAACCAAAAGGGCCTGGATTCGAGGGCCATGAAATTGAGGCAAAAAAGGTGATGTACATACATACCTTTAAACATATTTACATCCAAAAATTTCAAATGAGGCCGGCTTCGGGAAACAGGTAACCTTGGCTGGTCATACACGACCTGAATTAGCCCGCAGTAAAGCCAGTTATAATTATTAGTCATTAACTTAACTGTGCACTGTTACAGTAGAGTACTAAAACTTACAACATATATTGGTATCTGTCTTCACCACAATTTTCGTTACAATGTAACCGTTCCTTACTTTACATGTATTTTTTCTCAACTTTGGGAGAATTTGTTACAAACAGCCATACCCTTAATCATGAGTTAATAATCAAGACCAAAATTCTCCTTTTCCACCTTATGGAATTAGTCTCAAGGACTTTGGAGAAGTTAAGAAGTATGGTACTATTGTTCCCAGGTGTTGATCATGATGCTTTGGTAAAGCTTGCTGAACAACATTTTAGTGGTCTGAGATCGACATATGAGTCACAAGATAAGCTGACGCCATGCAGATACACTGGGAGTGAGGTAAATGAATGAAATTGTCGCCATTGGGAAAACCATTTTAATACAAACAGACACATGTACATGTCAGAGCTGCAAATGACAATTGGTCATTGGACAAAGGGCGTTTTCATGCTAGAGATGTTAAAGTCATCATCTAGTATAAATGTGGTAAAAAACACAGATTCATTTAACGTCTGACAACATTAACATCTTCTCTTAAGTGTGTCGTTCAGACGGCATGGACTGCCCTAACACAACGGGAAGAGTCAGAATTGTGTATTTTTTACAGAGAATTCTGTCTTTTACAATTTTGTCGTCTACTTTTTTGTGTTTCGTTCAGATGTTAAATACATCTACATGACTTTAATGTCTCTAGCATAAAAACGGCCAATGTTCAACTAAAATTTGCCCATGTCTGATGAAATCAATGCATTTTTGTACTTATGTAAATGCTGGGAAGTGGAAGTATCGGTACATAGATGTAATAATGTATATTCAAGTGACTTATGTTACTCTCATTTAGAGTTTCAATCTCGTGATCATTTAAACAAATGGAGAATGTCAGGGAAGAATGCAGATTACTACCTTAGCTGGGCAATGTTATGTTAATGTGTAGACAAGAAAAAAAATGATGTTTTGCATTAGACAGTGCTAGGTTTATGATGGTGACTGCTTAAAGGAGATTACAAATTAATGGTTGAATGGTAAGGATAAAACTAAGCTCAGTGAGATAATTGTGATTTGTTATGGGATTGCAGACCACTTGCTTGCCTCTTCCTTCCTTCCAAATAAACTCTTTAACAACTTGAGTTGCCATAAATATGTTGCTCAACTTTGCTCAATAATAAAATATTATTGTTTACCACTATGCATTTTGAATTATAAAATTGTGTTTCTTGTTGACAGATCCGTTTCCGTGATGATGACATGCCGTTGGCTCATGTTGCTGTTGCTGTAGAAGGCTGTGGCTGGACTCATCCAGATTACTTTGCTCTTATGGTCACTAACATGGTAAGATATTAATAATTTTCCCCACAAGACACTTAAAAATTATTTATTTACTTTTTTGGCTTTGAGAAAGCCCAAAGATAAGGCTTGTACTGTGTGGGCGTGCATCCTCAAATTCAGTGTAATAAATTACAAGAACGAATGTAGCACCAGTTCTAGTAACATCAAAAATATGTTAATTAACACTAACAATATATGTCACTAATCAAAATTATCAGTAATAACAATAATAATAATAGGTAAATTAGAAATAGATATTAAGGGCAACTAAGAAATGCTCGGAAAAAAAAGAAGCGAGTCCCCAGCGGGAATCAAACCCACAACCTTCCAGATAGTGGGAGGACACTCTGACCAATAATTAAATTGTTATTAAATTATTATTAGTGATGATAGAAGATTTTAAAAGGGACAAAAGATGAAACGAAGGAAGAAACAAAATATGGGGGTAGGGAAGAAATTAGGGCAAGAAAAATTTGTTGTTGTTTATTACATTATTATTACTTTTTTGCTGAAGGGGTTCATGGGTTCTTACCTGTTTACCTCTCTTTGGTGAATTACATTGTATACCTGCCAAGTGTCTCACCTAAGGCGTGATTGTCACGCCTGTGGGTCGAAAACTTGGATCTCCACCTACTCACACCTGTGTTCTGATTTGTCACTCCTGGTAGAAAAGTTTGAGCCATTACAGCATTAAACTGACCCCTTTTGAAACATATATTAATTATCTAAACAAACCTCAACCAAAGAGAGAAAAGAAAAGTCTATGTGGATTATTGACTTTCTCCGAATTCTCTTTGTTTAGTAGGGAAGTCAATGTTCCTTTGTGTTCCTGTGTTCGTGTTAGACGGAACTCTTTGTAACATCTTCGGAACGTCTTTGGACATCTTCGGATATTATCAGACCCCTATGAAAAATCTTGGCACTCTTAAGATAAAAAATGTCACGCCTATAAATGTAAAAAGGTTGGCAGGTATAACATTATAAAATCAATACTTTATAGTAATAAACAAACACTTAACTTAAACTATGTGCAAACCAAACTCCTACACAGTTACTTGTGACCTACAGCACCTGTACATGTTTTTGTAAGCTTAGGCCAATAATGCTTTCTGTTTCACAAGACCTGTATTTTATAAACTTTACTTGTAATGATCCTGTCATATTATAATTGATTTGCCTTTCAATGTTTCCAATTGACTTCTACCATTTGGAATATTATTTTTAATTTTTAGCTGATCGGCAACTGGGACAGGTCATTCAGTGCTGGAAGGAATATCAGCAGCAAACTCGCACAGGTGGGGTAATCACAACAAAACATTTTTCCCGGGGCAAATGCTGTATCTGACATGAACCAAAATTAATTACAGTTTGGGTTAACCTGTCAGCACCTGTTGGGTCAAATGGCTGAATTAATTCAGCTGAACTTTAACCAAAAAATTGATCCAAATACAGTCAGCTGAACTGAGCCACAATCCTCGTCACATAATTTGAGTTGGGACAGTCCCCTTGCAACACCCATATTCCAACAAAAAGTTGTGTTCCTTCCCTCCCAGTGTTGAATTTCAGTCTTCTGTGATGCCAACTGGCAAAGACCAACATTGGGATTGCAGAAAATATTGTAACTGTCCCAACCAATGCGACAAGTATTGGGCACTTCTCATGAGGTCAACTTGAAGTCTGGCTCATGTGAAGTACAGCAATATTAACCCAGGCCCAGATTTATGTGCATGTATGGACAGTTTGAATTTTCTTTAGTTAGTGAAAGTGAGCCTCTGCAACATAACACTGACACTCTTTATAAATGGTTGAATTTAGGGTCCTACTGACCGACCAAAACTTAAAACCACTTTGTACTGCGTAACAAACAGTACCACAGGAAACTACTGCTCAGTAGCTTTCATTTGAATGGTCATACTTTAGAGTTACATACATCTGTACAGCATACATACTGCAATAAACACTGACTGACCAAAACTTAGAACCACTTTGTACCGCGTAATAAACAGTACCATAGGAAATAACTGCTCAGTAGCTGTCATTTGATTGATCACACTTAAGGATTACATCAACAGACTCAACAGTTAGAACCACCTTGTACAGTATAATAAACAGTACCACAGGAAATTACTGAGTACTAAGTAACTTTCATTTGAATGGTCACACTTAAGGATTTAGTTGACAGACTCAAACATAAAATATTTTTGTCAAACATCTGTATGAATTTCTAACTAATATGGCTCAAGCAGTTGTTAGCTCAGTTAAGTCATTGGTATCAGAAACATGACCGCAGCCTCGAAACGCAGTTCATTTGTTTACTCTTAAAGGCATACAGTGGAAGTTCCAGACCTTCAGATTGGGGGAGGGGGGTGGAGAGGGCAGTCATCCAGACCCTGAGATAAGGGGGGGTGGTCTCCAAAAAATTTTTTTCGGCCCTTCGGATCTGGATCCGCCACTGGCATACATGTATGCGGTCCAAACAAGTAAACTTTTGGTAATATTTTTGTGCCACCTTATTTGTATTTGTGACTGCTATACAAAGTGTTTCAGTGGAAAAACCTTAAGACAGCTGTTTGGCTCTCATTTGCTGTGTTGTTTTTTGTCCACATACGTATTCCTTGACGTATTGTCTTTGAAGACTCTGACGATGAGGGGGTACAGACGATTTTACACCTGTAGATCTGGTTTAGAAAGTCTAACAGTCTGAAATGTCACCCGTCTCATAGCTCCACCCCTCCCCAATGGGCAGCAACTCATTCGAGCGGGGGGGAGAGTGACAAATACATGAATAATAACCAAATAGAAAGTAAAAGTATTTGTGTTTTTTGTAGGACATGATTAAACACAACTTGGCTCACAGTTTCATGTCATTCAACACGTGCTACACAGATACAGGACTATGGTTAGTATTCCCCTTTGGATATTATTTTTAGTGGTGGGGCCAAATGAGGCGATTCTGTGTTTCGGTTTTAAAGATGCACAATTACCCCAGATAGGTTCTCATGGAAATGAGGTCAAAGAAGTGTCGGACGACTGGTTAAGAAAAAAAAAGAGTTTTCTTCTCCCTTCCCTCACTTGTAACCCCTAATCATGTAAGCTTGCTCAAAGGCATGGCTTTTATAATGTGTACTAATGTGTGTGTCGATCAGCATAGGTATTCACTTTAACTTGCACAGTTTAAGTTGATCAATTATTGTCGTTTTTACTTAACTTCTGCGCTACATACAGTGTGGTCAATCTTCTTTTAACTTTGTTAAGCTGCCTTTCAAATGCAAGCATCCCCTTATTAATAAAATGATGGTCATAACTAAGCCTGCAGTACCCAACACATAGCTGTTGGGCCTGGTTTCGAAACTGTAACCTAGCAACATGCAGCGCATGCTCAACAAAGATCTTACTCAATTCGTGTAAAGCCTTTCACGCCAGCTGGTTTCCTCCTCTCCTCCTAGTAACAATAGGGAGGCAAATGCTTTTGGAGTTGAATTCTAGAGGACTGTATCAAAGTTTAGGAAAAGAAAAAGGAAGTTGTTGTTTTGCTAATATAGACCTGTTCTTGTTCTTGTCCCCGTCGTCGTTGCTTACGGAAGCCAAGGAATACCCTCTGTTTGCTTTCCTCCACAGCTTACTTATTTAACCAAAACTTAACATAATAGTATTTACCTTTTAGGGGAGTTTACTTTGTGTCTGATAAAATGTCCATTGACAACACAATATACTGCATCCAGAAAGAATGGTAAGTGTTGAACATCTTGCTTTATGCCCTGTTCAATTCACCGTAAATCCCCTAGGGGGCTTATATATTTCAAGCTCATTTGGTGGGGGCTTAATAGAGACGTGGGGCTTATTGAGAGATGGGGTTTCTCTACACTTTCCTCCAGGAGTGAACAACACCGATTTTTTTCCGAAACAGGATAAATAATAATAATAATAATAATAATATTAATAATAATAATAATAATAGAGAAGGGTCAGGCAGGACTTCCCTAGACTCGACAGCTATAGATGCTTTATTAATTGTCTTCATTTTATTTTATTTTTTTAAACAGTTGAAAGAAACTTTTGAATTTTAGAGGCTGACAGTTTCTTCTTTATTGAAATGAAATGTTTTTAATTCGAATAAATTTTTCTAAGCTAAATTAAGTGCTTTTGAAATCGACAGGAATTGGAAATAGTGTTTTGAATGAATAGTTTTTCTTTTTTACAAGTGAATTAATTGTAATAAGTAGTTTCTTAGAAATCGATTTTGCGATAAATATTAGCGATAAAAAATCACGACGTTTCGACCTCTCCGAGGTCATTTTCAAGTGTATAAAAGTTCTCTAAATTAGCATAGATAAGTTAAAAGCAAGTTATAATAGATAAAAATGTGGTGAACGCTAAAATGTGATAAAATATGTAAAAATGTAAAAAGTGCTAAAAAAATATTTATAAAGTCAAAAAACAATGGAAATAAAACAATGTTAACAAGAACTACTCTAAACAAATAATTTGGCGCGAATTGAATCGCACTTAACAAACAGTGCGATTCAATTCGCGCCAAATTATTTGGAGAGGTCGAAACGTCGTGATTTTTTATCGCTAATATTTATCGCAAAATTGAATTAATTGTATATAGGATTTTAATAGTTAGCATTGTTGTCAATAAAATTTCTTCATTAATAATAATAATAACAGCAATAATAATAATTTTATAAATAATAATAATAATAACAACAAATAAAATGATCAGCAAAGGGATTTCATCTTTTATCGAATTCTATAACTTATTCTTCAAAAAAGAATAAGGAGGTCAGTTCGAGTAATTTGTATGAGGATCTTGGGGCTGCAAGGGCTTATGCACTTATTTCTCTTTTCCAGGATGCGTATATGCACCAGTGTAACGGATCACGAGGTGGCACGTGCTAAAAATCTGCTGAAAACAAACATACTTATGCAGCTGGATGGTATGTAGCCACCTTTATGCTGGTTTTCGTCCCTGAAAGCTTAAATCGTTGCGCAGCATGGAGTTTATCCGTTGGTACAAATTCAAAAATTTGAGCCAATGAGGAACAAGACCAGAAGTTTGTGAAATTTATATTGCCGTTCCTCATGTGCTTTTCCTGGCACTGTCCTTTACACTTTTGCCGCGCTTTTCATCACTCGAACGCTTCTCTTCAATACTAACAATGGTTTTTTCTCGCGCTTTTCATCATTTGAAAGGTTGCCTTCAATAACAGTGGTGTTTCCCCGCACTTTTCATCATTTGTACGCTTCTTTACGGTGTTTTACCGCGCTTTTCGTCATGTGAACTCTTCTTTTCAATAACAGTGGTGTCTGAACGCTTCTCTTCCACATCAGCTGCGTTCGCTGCACTTTTCATCGTTTGCAAATTTTCCCGCTTTTTCTATCATTTACACTTTCCCTGTGCTTTGCTTACAAGTTTCACTCCCCTCCTCCCACCCCCCCCTCGTTTGGTCCCAGGTGCACCTTTCCGTTTTTTTCATCCTTTGCGCACACTTCCCACAGTTTAAGTTTTTCTCGCGCCTTTTGTCATTCACGCCTGTTGCATCCTTCCCTGTACTTACATTGTCATAAAACTGCTGAAATTAAATTTCGATGTTTAGCTTTTTTAGCCTGAGAAAGAAACGACACTTAGCGGCGCCAACACTGGTTTTCCCGCGACGGGGAAACTCGTGAAACAAATTTTCATCCAATTAGAAGCACTACACAGATATGGGTAGTGTGACGTCATCAGTATGGAATTTCTGCGCTCGTTCCTCAAACGTCATTTCGCTGGGAAACCAGTTGTGGCGTCAGGAAAGGTCGGCTGTTTTCTAAGGCTTAGTTTTTTTTATGCTAACTTAATTCGTCTAACCTTTATTCTAGGATCCACTCCTATCTGCGAAGACATTGGAAGGTAAATGTTTACAGCCTTTGTTGACGTACTGTACGCCATCATCATCACCATCATCATCTTTATCCTTATCATCATCATCATCATCATCATCATCACGTAAACTAAGGCGTGAAAAACCACTGCAAAAACCGTGTACGATCAATGTAGCTCAACGTTGGATCGAACGAGATCGTGATCAGTCGAAAAATTAAAGTCAAAAAGACTCCTGCAAAGACTGATCAAACAACGTGAAAAAGGCTGAGGTATACAATATTTCGACTCGCCAATACCTGTCTTCATCAGGTTTATTAGATCATCGTAATCACTTTCATCAAATGGGCGGATCCCTTTTGATACAGACGAATAACTAATTCCGTTTCTCACTGGAGCCTATTGTTTATTTTTTCACCAGACAAATGTTGACATACGACAGGCGTATTCCTTTGCCAGAACTTGACAAAAGAATTGAGGTAAGATATTACTTTTATCCATTTCCTTCCTGTTTTGATTATTTGTTTGGCTCCTACACATTCTTACGAGTAGCTTGCCAGAAAGTTATCTCGCCTAGGGCTCACTCCTTTCCGAGTTTGTCGTGCAAACCCAGCCCCTAGCCTAGTCCCACAGGCGAATTTTCTTCTCACCATGAGACTTTAAATAATGAGATTTCCTTGCTTTTGTACAACTTATGGCAAAACAATAAACTGGAACTGAATTCGGCTCGGTCAATCCTGGACTCTACCGTCAGCTGTGACGTCACCACCCTTTCGCAGACTTCGCGCGGTCAACTGGGCAAGAGGGAACGCCTGGGGACTAAGCTGACTACCTCATACATTTCCTTTCTTTTTTTGTAGATGATTGATGCTAAGATGATCAGAGACGTAGCCACAAAATACATCTATGACCGCTGCCCTGCTGTTGTTGGAGTCGGTAAGTGCGGTTTGTTAGATAATAGGGAGTTTAAGCAGCGACGTTTTTGAGCGACGCACGTCAATTGGAAGTAAGCCTTTCTCGCTGTTGATATGCCTTGACGCTACCAAATCTAAATTGCTAAATGTTTTTACTCTTACAGAGACGATTTGCCCTAGAATTTGTTCAAAATCACGGCCGTAGAATTCAAAAAATCTACTTCTGGTTGACGCGCGTCACTCAGAAACCTCGTTGCTTTTACTCCCTACTAAACATTAAACCCATTTTAAAAAGACAAAATGAAAATATTGAAAGAAATCCTTGCACTGTACTTGCTTGTTACCATTTGTAGTGTCATTCATTGGTAAATCTAGGGGAGCGGCAAACTGAATAAGGACAAGTGACACACGTACACCAACACACTGCGTGGCCAGTACCTAACCCCTATTTCACCCTGGCACCAGCAATATTGGAAAGCTGTTTCGTCCTTATTAGGGCTCATCAGCGTGGAATACCCGAATAAATAGAAAAATCAGTGACGAGTGTATCATAGGCCCTTGGAAACCAATTAGTTAAGAGCTACTACCATACATTACATGTGGGAGGTGTTGGCTGGGAACCGCATGGTAGTTCTCCTACGGAATGCGCTGGGAAGGAGGATCAACTGTTGATCTGTGTGATGGGAGAGGGGCCCCGGAGCGGGGCCTCCCCTTTATTTTTAGACCAAAATGAAGTCCGCGGGGTAAAGAAAAATTATTTTTAAGGCCGGCCTCCCTCTTTTCTTGGGGTCTGGATGAGCCGGCACGACCTACTTGAAGATCCGAATATTCGCCCCTGTTATAGCCTGCGAGAAAGCTGCCGTTCTGAGGAATCGCGAGAAGTCACGCATGAGCAGCACGCGAAAGGAGATGCAAGGGGGTTGGGGGTGGGGCAAGGGTAGGCGACCTCGCCGCTTGTTCGCGCGTTCTCTCACTGTTCGCGCCAGAAATGGTGAGCTTACTCGCATGCTCCTCCGTACTGTTATCAATGTAAAGGAAAAATTCTGTGTTCAGTTTTGGCTGTCCTGGTGTAATTTTGAAATTAGTGCATTCATTTCTTTTAGGGCCAATAGAACAGCTGACGGATTATAACAGAATTCGCGGAGGCATGTACTGGTTGAGGCTTTAGACTGGCGAGCCTCCTGCCGTTATTTCTCATTGTTTCAACTGAATATTCTGTAAAAAATCAATGAACGCTTTTATCGTTTGCGCTGTGTGCAAGTTTTGATCTGCAAAAACTTCTGCAACGGTTAAATGTTGTTAGGATTCTTTTAATAAAATATGTGGTCGTAGCTTCTTTGATGTTTGCCATAAGTATTTAAGTTATGTAATTCAGATCTTCCTTGGCTGTTCCTGACGAAACTACGACGGCGTCAGCAACGGGAACGTCAAAAAAGCAATATGAGCAAAATTACAACTCTGCAAGTGCATCGTGCTTTTTGGAAATTTCTTTGCCGTTTCTGCACAACTACGACATGAAATGGCCAAATTTTACGTTCACTTGAGAACGGGAACGGCGAGACAATAGGGAGCTTAAGCAGCGACGTTTTTGAGCGACGCACGTCAACCGGAAGTGAGGTATTTTCCCTCTTAACATGCCTTGATGATATAAAATTTGTATTCCTTAGCCTCTTTACTACTATAGAGGCGATTTGACTGAAAATTTGCGCGAAACCACCGTCAAAAAATGAAAAAAGGTCACTTCCGGTTGACGTGCGTCGCTCAAAAACGTTGTTGCTTAAGCTCCCTAATAAATTGCACCATCGCCGTTTTCTCTGTCTGAACTCGGGTGCGGCTACTAGCAAGATGCATAGGGGGTAGCCCCGTGGGTTTGACACTTGCAATCCAGTACAGTGGGCGCAATAATTCTGTACGGGTAAAATTTTTGTTTTTGCTTCAAGCAAAATGTAGTTTGACAACATTTACATGGAATGCCAGTCCCGTGTCTTAAAATTTCGACCCCCTATCACATTTTGTGGATTTTCAAAATTGACCCCCAAATCTAGGCCGATTCGAAAATTGTACACCCCCTCCCCCCCATGGGACGTAATAAACAGTTTTTCATCGGCTGCACTGTTGCGCTGACAGTTTCTCTCCCAGCGGCTCGATCTCCCACGTTCCAGATGCAGGTAGAAGGAATAAAGTGCTCGAATAGAGGCACGCATGTGCGATGGGGTCCACACAAGACTTGTTGCAAACATTCTCGCCTGCTGAGTCGCGATCCTTAGATCCCGAGTGTTCAAACAGCAACACGTCGTTTCGCCCAAAGTTTTTATCGAGATCGCTAAGAGATCGCTGGACCTTTTTTCATCAGTAGAGCCTTAACCAAAGAACAATTCCGATAAGCCGTGCTGTAGAGTGTTTTTGGTCATTGGGCGAATCGACTTGATTTCTGCGTCCGAGCAAAACAACTTCGGGTGAAACGACCACAATTCGTTCAAACACTATTTAGTGGGCCCAGCATGCATTGGCCCGGTATGGTTACTCATAAATCGGTTCGGGCCACACCTTTCGCTTGTTTTTCCTGGAAGACGCTGCTCGTAAAAACCTTTTTAGTTCTTCAAAGAAAAAAAAAACCGTCAAGTTAATGATGCGCAAATCAGTTCATACTCTCAGAAATGAAAGTCGAACATAGCGCGTCTAAGCTTTCAAAGAGCACTAGATTGGCGCCGGGTAGCTATCATAAATACGGTCTTCTAAAGAAACAATAAATATCGTAAAATTCCGAAAATAAGCCCCCCCAAATATAAGCCACCCCCCCCAGCCACAAGCTTGAAACGCAAAAAAATCCTCCGTTACATCGCCCCTTCAAATGTAAGTACCCGGGGGCTTATACTTCGAAATTCCTCTCTAATATTTGCAAAACCGTTACAGTAACACATATGATTTTTTTTGTTTGCCTAAAAACCATGGGGACTTGGATTTCTTCGGTCCATAGACAAAGTACTTGCAGTTCTATTCCGTTACCCTGCACTCAAACTCCTTCTGATGGTCCTCGCTTTTCACCTGGTATCTTTGCGACGATAGAGTGAAGTGTCATACAAATTTCCTTCCAACTATAAGCTAGCCCAGTCGAGTTTGAGACACCAATTTTCCTCCAAGTAAAAGCCTAGCCGATTTTGTAACGCAAATTTTCCTCCGTATATAAGCCCCTCCAAAAGGGCCTTTCAAAAATATGAGCCCCAGGGCTTATTTTCAGAATTTTAGGCTAGGTAAATCAAACTGTTTTCCAGCCACAAGAGGCCCAGGTGGTGTACTTGCCTACAACATAGACGGGGTACTCGCCCTGGATTTAGGAGGTGAAATTTGGACATTGGTTCATTCGGATAAAATTCAAACTTACCCGCTGTTGTAGTTGTCGCGGTTTAAGGAGTATTGCAAGGGTGTTAAGGCGGAAAACGTCGGGATCTATGTTTTCAGTCTCGGTTTATTTGTAACTTTATAATCAGTAGTTCTTTAGGTCGGAGTGAAAGAGAACTTGAGCAACGCCCAAAAAACGTGATGGGTGTACCTCTTAGGGGGTCTCGTGTTGGTCATTTTGTTCGTTTTAATCGTTTTGGTAACTGTGGTCATATAGATCAGTTTGATCGTTTTTTTCTCTCTGGTCGCTTTAGTCTTGGTGGTTTTTGGCTGTCACCATAAACGAATGTTTCCTTGCTTTAATATATTTTTCTTTTACCCCTCCAGCCTTAGCCTAGCCCAGTAGCTTTTCAAATGGTCTGTCCCTTACACATCTGGAAACGTGTGCAGGAATTGTAAAGTATTTTTGTAATTTACTCCAAAATAAAAAAAAATTCCCAGGACGTGATCGTCCCTCTCCCTTTTCCCCTATATTCGGCATAATTTTAGCTAAAAGTTATTTCAATTATTTGAATTATTCATTGAGACTGGCCGATGAATAGACAAATGCTGATGTTTGACCACCTGTGGTTTCTATGGTGATTTGATAAATAAGTTGCTATAGAGATCGATGCACGTGTAGTCAGTAAATACATTTCCAGAAACACTAAAAATATGTATTGTTATAACAAAACGCTTTTAATTATACCCTTGGAGTGCATACTGGTCGCTTTCTCGGCTGAAGCAAAAATTTCCTTATGGTGCTATTTTCTCGTTTACAAACATTTTATTATAAGATCGGTGCTGCCAAAATCTCTGGTTCAGGATAATTGTTTTTTTTTTTTTAAGACAAGATGGATGAAAGTCTGAGCCCACGTTGAGCCCAGCAGATGAAGCGCTGAAAAAGCTGAAGAAAGCAAACAAAAGGTTAAAAATGTCATCAAATGTGCTTGATTTTCATTTTGCAACCACGTCAGCTGAGACACCCAGTATATCTCTAAAAATTTCTTAATACTAAATTGTTTTTTTATTATATTTAAACGGTGTAAGTTGTATGCGGATATGAGTATACGGTTTCACATGTCATGAAATTTTGAGATTATTCGATGACCGTTCACAGAAACCCTGCAGTGGGTCATTGCGTGACAATTTGTAAAACGCACGTGACAAAGGACTCCTTACAGCATGGATATTACAAAGAATGCTTACATAAAAAATTTTACATATCTAAAAGAGATTTACGCCTACTTTTACAAAACAAATGGTAAGATCGATCAAAAGAGGCTAGATTACTTTTTTACAAAAGCGTGTAACTTAGCTGAACTACTACGTAAAAGTAAAACCTAAAGCGCATTTATAATATTAAATTTAGCCAATTTTCGAGACAGTACTAGTGGAGAATTTTCAAACTCTCTAACATTTCCTTGACCAAATTAGTAAGCTTTTTTTCTTACCGTGTCTATACTAACCTTAGCAAAAAGGAAATACAGTTGTCAGCAAAACCTATGAAGGAAAAACGTAATTGTGAAATACTAGAGGAAACAAAAATACCGCGCTGACGGCAGTTGTCACGCAACCCACGCAACCGGAAACAAGCCGATGGACGCATGGATTGTAGTGCATGAACAATAACGAAAAATGTTCCTGAACTTTTCGAAAGCATAAGATATAAAAACATGATTAGTTGCTTCTATGACTGGTTTGAAAATTGGCGATTCATCCATTTTGAACTGTCCTGTCTTGTTTTGATCGGAGCGGTTCGAACAAATGCCTTGTAGGAAAGTTTTCGACGGATTTATATCTGGTGTCTATTCTTAGAACACATTACTGTCCAATGAAAAGCTTCGTTATAAAATGGCAGCAAGAACTGGTATTTGAAGAATGTCTCATGGTCTAGCTAACAGAAAAGAGAATTTAGAAAACCAGGTCGATCCAGACAGAGATTATAAACATCACTGAACGTTGCCATTGGATGGGATACTTTCATACGCTTTCAACAGCCAGTGAAAATCTATCTTGTTCAACCCGGCATTCGGTTATATATGACTGGTCTATAATAAAACCTTCGTCATAAGTGGTCGCGTTCGTTCATGTGTTAAATCCATTGTTTTTTAACCAATCAAAATTAAGGACAAGCCCCTGGGTTTTACCGCAATGTGGTGTGAAGTCAGCGGCCCAGAATATCTAAACCCCCCTATAGGCTATATTGAAGGTGTGGCTTTGGCGCTTGGTGATCAATTCTCCGGCCATTTCCTGATTTCTGAGTTCGTCGGTTCTGGCACATAGTGAGAGACACTTTGCTTGGTTTTAGAAAGGTATGTGTGAAAATACGACTTCTACTATACTTTTAGACCGGAGATTATTTCATCATTGAAGGTTCAGAGGCGTTAATCGCGCTGAAAAAGCGGTTGGTAACATCAGAATGGCAGCGATTTCCAGCCGACTGGGAGAGCAAATTCTTGGCGGCGTTGTTTCACAATCTGTCCCGCTTCGCCCCAAAAATGAAACCAAGAATTCTGAACCGTTGGGATGTCTTTCGATTATTCCTTTTGCCTTCGATAGCTGTTTGGTCAAGTTTTGCTTTCAAATATAACATTTAATTGTGGATGTTTCAAACTGTGTACCTACTCAAGGATGGAGCTGTTGCTTCAGCGAGTAGGTTACATGCTACTGTTAAATTGGCTTAAAATTTGCTCTCCTAACCTTCCATAAAATTGTGTTTAATCCATAGCTTGCGTAAATACTGGTGTTAATTTGGAAGGGAAGAAAATGTGCTCGGAGAGGGTACTTCGAGCGATAATGATATTCATGTTTAGGAGGGCGCTAGCGATCTCGAAGTAAACTTAGAACGGTTTGGCCAACCGGCGAATTATTCAAACACCCCTAGTCAGTGGCTACCGCCTTGCATTCCTGTGCGCAAGAAATATCATTCATTTTGCTGGTGCCTCAGTTGAGAAAGCGCTGTGTTTGGTGATATTCATGCCTGCTAATTTCCGACCCAGTTTCTTGAGCTGGCTTTTGGTCAACGTGAGTGCTATAACAGAGCTATGATAGTGCGGCAACTTACGCAAGTCACGATTATGATGAAAAGCCGTCATTTTTTGCGATCAAGCGTTGGTTATAGCCATACTTTTCCCTGAAAATGTTCTCTCCACCCTTTCGAAGTTTTAACTGCAATTATACATGGGCAAATAGTTCTTGGTAACATGCCTAATTTTTATTGAAATATTTTCTTAAATCTAAGATTACTCCAATTGTTTCATACTTTTTAAACTTTAGTATTATGTCATTACACTTAAGAAAGGTGTTCTAAATGGAGTATGATGTTGCATTATATTTGAATGATATACCATCATGTAGTCTGTTTTGTTTCCTTGGAAATATATTCTGTAGAAGTTATAACACAGTTTTCAGCAATGACCTTGCAGTCCTTTTCAATGAAAAATATTTAACAGAGATGGTTAATTATCTTGCATACTTTTTGTTCCTTGCCACTTAACCATTGTCTATCCTCGCTTTGATCATCAGTATAACTCTAACCCTAATCTAACTCTTTCGTATCTCTTTCTTTGCAAAATAATGTCTTTTTAACTTGTTTAGTCTCTGACATGTTGTTCAAAATCAATATGCTGCAGAAAAAGTTAGGCTTAACGTTTATTTACGTCAATTTCCTAAACTACAGTACATTACTTGGTTGATTACCTGGTAACATGCATGCACAATCAGCATCGAGCGTACAACTTCATTTGCATGAATTTGTGGGCTACATCTGATCATTTTGTACTAGTCAATATCTCTGTACTAGTCAATATTTGCTTAGGTGTTGAATTGATCCAAACCTGCCAACCCCTGATAAAGGAAAATCTAGAGACTTGTGACAAAAAATCTGGAGATTCTACATTTTCCCCTATCAAGATTAATCAAACCTTTTTTCATTTGGGGTATTGACTGTTTATTTAAGCATTAGTTTGATTTACGTGTGGTCCCTGCGGTAACAACATGCCACATTTTCTTGGATGACTCTAACAGGCCAGGGAAGAGGTCATGTTAGGGAGAAAACTTATAGCAAGGTGCCATCAAGGCTTAAACGGGCACTAGCATTCCCCACAAAATTTCTGTTTTTATTCAACAATATAGCATATGATATTTCCAAAAGACTGTGAGACTCACGGCAAAATTGTGAGAGTTGGCAGGTCTGTTGATCATAAAACAGTTTATCCTGTACGGAAGGTTTTCTTACAGGGACCAAGTGCTAATGTTGAGATAATGCCTAAATACAAAGGACATGAAAGCTCTGGGTAGTTTTCCTCATCAACTTAACCCTTTCCCTTATAATGTGGTTCTAATTTTTGATGAACTAACCCTGGTGAGTTTCATGTATAACCCTTTCACTCACATAGATGGCCAAAGGCTTCAAAATTTCAATGTTTAAACTTGGAAGTGAAGTGCAAATCGTGCCATGCAAAAGAACTGCCTAGAGGTTTTGTTTGAATGGCCACACAGTAGGATTTTGTCCACAGACTTAGAAGTTAGAGCAACAGAAAATTCTCACCATTAATCTTTCTAAAAGTGAAGGGGTTAAGTTTGATCATGCATTATTTCATTGTTCGTAAATGGAAAAGTTTAGAGTTTTGAACATCACCACTGTTATGAGGTAAAGGGTTGAGTTAACCTTCAATTGTCCTTTTGAAGGTTGAGGAAACAGCAACATGACGCCCCTTAGGAAAAAGCTGGTCATTGTGGGTGATGGTGCCTGCGGCAAAACCTGCCTACTCATTGTGTTCTCCAAAGATAATTTTCCTGAAGTATACGTGCCTACAGTTTTTGAGAATTATGTTGCCGACATCGAGGTTGAGGGCAGGACTGTAGAGCTAGCTCTATGGGATACAGCAGGACAAGAAGATTATGACAGGCTGCGACCTCTCTCTTATCCCGACACGGATGTAATTCTGATGTGCTTCTCCATTGATAGTCCTGATAGTTTAGAGAACATACCTGAAAAATGGACTCCTGAAGTAAAGCATTTCTGCCCAAATGTACCCATCATTTTGGTGGGTAACAAGAAAGATTTAAGAAATGATGAAAACACCAAGAAAGAATTAGCAAAGATGAGACAAGCCCCAGTTAAAACAGAAGAAGGAGAAGAGATCTGTGATAAGATCAATGCCAACGCCTACATGGAATGCTCAGCAAAAACAAAGGAAAACGTACGAGAGGTATTTTATGAAGCCACCAAGGCTGCTCTAAAAAGGCCGAAAAAGAACAAGAAGAGGGGATGCAGTATATTGTAAAATGTTTGGACGTGGTTCCCATGGAACATTACTTTAGTATAGTACGCTTAAGTTGAATGAAAACAAAAACTTCTCCCATCCTTTACGCACCCAGAGGCGTGTGTTAATCAAAAGAGAATGGCTTTCTCCAACTGCGAGTTTTGTAGTTATGGTATATCAATTCAAATTATTAGTATTGTTACTCAAGACACACTGTGCCAAGTCAGGATCAAGCCTACGTTTACAGCAATTATATTATAAACTAAAATAAAGAGCTGTGAAGTCAGATTGTTGTATTAATTGACAAGTGTATAAAGCTATTTTGCCTTTCTCTTCACACAAAAAGAAATCAATATTGTTATTTTTTGTTTCTTTCCATTATTGTAATATTGTTGAATCTATCATGGAGTAATGTATTGATTTGGCACATAAAAGACCCATCTCCTCCATAAGGACTATTTCTTGTCTGTCTTTGAATACTGTTTAAAATTGTTTTGAAGAATAATTTTTTGATTGAATGTTATTAGCTTATGTGGCAACGTGATCTACTTGTCGTGAACTGAAAAGGTTTGAAATCAGGTTTTTCATACTGAGAACAAAAATCCTAATGTTATGCTTTTCGTTCTGGAGTATTTCAAACCTTTTCATGAACAAAAACTTTTTTTCTTCAAATATGACAATATATCAATCAAATAAAATTGATCGAATTTTAAAGGGATATATGTCGCTCTTACAGGAAAACTAAACCTTGTGTTTGGAAGTTGTCTGACTTGTAAGTGTAATATGCAATGTAGTAGGTGTTAATCAAAAGACCTAAATACATAAATATAGTTGATTCTTCAGTTTGTTCAGTAAAAATAATAAAACTGTTGTTATTTTGTTCCTTTAGTCGTGTTTTGCATTAAAAATTGTTATTATTCTAGCTAGGGCTGGGAAGTTGCTGAGATTTCTTAATCAATTATCCCAAATAATCAGATGACCCAAGTGATCGACCATTGATAACTATCGGAAAAAACCTCTTTACGAGAAGTCCGTTTATTTTTCACCTTTGTTAAAGTCAAAGTACATGCAATAGAAACTTGTTGAGTTTTTTGACTGTAGACCACTGAGCTAAGAGTTTTTCTGTGCTTGCAGGTGATCAAATTCTTTTTCTTTTTTAATATTACGAGACCGTTAATAGACAGTACACAAGTTCCTAATATGTTTATTTCCCAACAAAAAAATTAAGGTTTTGGAAATTAACGGAACTTGAATTATCACAAATTGTAATGGAAAACGACTTTCGAACAATGCAATATAATTAATGAGAAAGACAGGGTGTTTTTTCAAAATAAAAGAAATTAATGCAACGTTCACAAAGAAGCAACTAAAGACAACAGGAACAAAGTTAAATGTATAATCTGGAATGGAAACTGTGTTCCTGGTTCTCTCCCTAAAAATATGAAAGGGGTCACGCTCAGAAATCTGGTCACTTTGAGGGCTGATCACAGTTTTACTGATACTACCAGATCTCCACCCTGATAAAATACTCCTGTTTCCTAGGTGTCAAGAATGTCTTAACCCCTTTAAGTCCCAATAGTGCTCAAGATCAATTTTCTGCCAACGATATCCATAGACTATCATGAGCAAAGTCTATGAGAATTAACAAAATGATCACACAGAGGAAAATATTTGATCTTTTACCAAATTCTCTCAAATAATTCTTTAAGGAAATGTATAGAGACCAGTTTGGAGAATTTGTATGTGGATACTGGGGCTTAAAGGGTGAAGTGAATTGGGGCCAAAATGATGGAAATTGTGGAAGTGGAAATTAACATGCCACTTACAGTTTCGTAATAAATGGCACAGAAATATAAAAGATAAACATACAAATTTTTTAGTGAAAATAGGAACCTTTATTTCTTGTTTCACTGGTTGGTGAGCCTTGCTAAAACTACCTATATTTTCCGAATGTCACCCTTGTTATGTTACATAAGCCATGTAATTTTGTTTAACATGCAGCACTTTGCTCAAAGTAATCCGTGAAGTATTGTTCAGGGGTTTTAACAAGCACTGATGACCAACAACACACGTCGGCCACTTTGCTTGGCGAAGTCAATTACTTTTTCCCGCTAAATTGGAAGCTGGAAGTGAAGTATTACAGCAAGGAGCCCAAAATTGTGACCACCTTTAATTAACTCATTCTTTTATGCAGACATTTTAAAACCAATCAGAAGTCGAGGACAGTTTCTAGCTGACTTCTGATTGGATTAAATCTGTATAAAGGAATGCAAATAAAAATCAAAAGCAGTCGCACTTTTAAGGTCCTGTCAAAATTTAATTAAAATTCAATTTGCTGGACCTAGAAATACTTTTTTCTTCAGATTCAAAGTATTTAGGAAACGTTTGGGATTTACTGTGCATTACTTGTCCAAATTTACCATTATCGTTTGTACTCAATTAAGTGCCCTGAATGTTGGAAATCAAATTTTAAGGAATTGAATTTTCAGAATTTTCTGGGGGTGCATGCTTCGAGATAGCTCTAGAAGAAGGGGAGTGAAAGCCTGTTTTTAATACTATCAGTTATTTGTTTGAAACTTTCTCGCTACTTCAATTTTAAAACCCCTGATTGTGTGTTGTATTTTGTGCATAATCACTCTTTTGCCTCTGCTTGTTTTGCTACATCGTCTGCAAGGTCAAAAGTACTATAGGATGGAGACCTCATGACACTGTCACATGTATAAGGACCCATCTGTTTCATAATGTAGGTTAACAGTTTTATTAAAAAGGGATGTTGTAAAGGGGAAACTTGAGACATTATTCCAGACCAATGGCCTCATGGCGTAGATCACAACGTGGCTATACACCTTTGAAAAGATCTGATCATAGTCCAACTCTAGTAGACAGGAAGAACCTTGGTGATCTAGCAATGTGGGACTCAGATTATGAGCAAGAAGATGAAGAAGAGTTAAAGAACGATTTGAGAGGCAGTGTTACCAAAAGAGAGGCTCCAGAAATCAAACAAGTTCCAGTTGAAACAGGCACCAGGGTCATCATATTGAGTAGTAAATACTGTGATTGCATTCCTGAAACAATTGGAGAGGGAGATGGAGATGTAACTGACTCAGCTTCTGAAATCACCCACAAAAATGATCCAGGCCAGAAATCCAAATGCACTGTTATGTAAAAATGTTATGAAATAATATTACAAGAAAGCTTAAGGTTAACTTTTAGCCACTTGTGTCATAATAAATTATAGGCTTTTATTTGGAGTCTATGATGATGTTACTTCTCAAATTGGAGATGGAGATGAAACTTACTCAGCTTCTAAAATAACCCCCCCAAAATGATCAAGGCCAGAAAACCAAATGTGGTGTGATGTAAAACTGTTATAAGATTACAAGCTCAAGATTTAAACTTGAGAATTTTTCAAGTGTAATAATAAACAATCATTTGGAGTCTATGATGATGTTACTTCTCAAAGGATTAATGAAAATTGTGGGATGCCAACTCTAGATCTGCATTACCAGTTTTAACTCCTAGTTCACTTGAATCTTGAAGTGTAAAGTTTTCTTGCTGTTCAAAGCACAATCGTAGGATTGCTCTATTTTGTGGCATCACTGCTACTTGTGATATACCTTGTTTACTGTTAAAGTTGCCCTCGTAGGTGGGGTAGGGGTTACATCTTGTTTAGTATTTTGTTTAAGCAGATGGTGTATTTTAACATGACCCACTTGATAGGGACACCCCAGTAAATTGGACACTTTCTATGGCCCCCTTAGTGGCCATAAGGGTGATTGTATTGTAACGCTCTCATGAGATGCATTGTCTTCTGCCCCGGGTGGTACTCCACAAAGTTTTATACGGGAGGTGCTGCCCCAAGGTCCAACACCTTACCCTTTTATATTTCATTTTTTGACAGAAAACGTACCCTTTTCACATACCTTTCATTGACAGATGGAACCCCATTTGCATACCTAGTTTAGAACTTTGCATTCCTTTGAACTGTTTTAAACTCACTGTCTTTCAAATGTGAATAATATCACAAATCCTGAACATTTTCTTGACTTTTTCACAGCCATAAAATCCTTCCGTAGCCCTTTTAGGTCATTTTTACAGAAAGAAATGACAGATTTACCCACCCTTTCGTATACTTCAGGGCTTGAAATAACGGCTGGTCAGTGGACAATGTCCGGACTGATTGGGGAGTTGACCGGTCAACCTTTTATCTTGCCAGTTATGCTGACCGGTCACAGCCAATTTCCATGCTATTCAGTTGTTTCAGTTGTTGTGTAGCAAGTCGCTGTGTATTATGGAACTTTGATCTGAAATCATCCGTGAAATGCAACTAGAACCGTTGCTTATAATTCACGCATTGAAACTGATTTCGGGGTTCACGCACTTCCTGTCACAAAATTAAAATTATTTTCACTTTTATTAATTAAGCAACCACTTTTTTATTTTGGGAAATGTGTGTCACCAGTTTTGGATCATGGGCCCTTGTTTTACTGCGCTTTTCACAAACATGCGAACTCTAAAGTTCAAAAGCCACCTTCACAATTGTGTTTTTCGCTGCTGTCAATCATAATTACGATCACAAGCAACAAACCTGAAAACACAGAAACACACAAAATGGATCGAAGTCTACCAATCACAAATCACAAACCTTGACCTTTTGAACCCGCTAAAGTAAAGTTTGTTTCCTTAGAGGTCCGTTAAGATGATTGACGGCAGTGAAAAACGCTATCGTCAGTTGGCTTTTGAACTTCAGAATTCGCATGTGTATGAAAAGCGCAGTAAGAGTTATTTATTAATCTCATAAATTTGACCGATGGCCAAAACGGATTTGGCCGGTCTGGCTCATCGTCTCTGGAGACTCTCCGGAAATTATTTCGAGCCCTGTACTTCAAATTAAAATTAACCCCTACCTTACCTGAGAAAGGTACCCCTTTATTGGGGGGCCTCGCCCAATACGCCATAAAAGAGAGTAAAGAGAGTTGTCTTGTGGTTGTTACGGACAACTGAAGCAATTGAAAGAAAAATTTGTAATAAGGAAGTCATCTGTGACAACTGTATTCTGTAATTGAGATATTTTATAAGCAAAAGCTTATCCTCACGGTGAGGGAGACGATCTTCTTTTGAAGAGCTAAATAATTGTATGAACTAAAACTTAACACTGGTTTCTTTTTCTCCCTTGTAGAGTGAGTATTTAACACGATGACAGCCATCAGGAAAAAACTGGTCATTGTGGGAGATGGTGCTTGTGGTAAAACTTGCCTTTTAATTGTGTTCTCCAAAGATCAGTTCCCCGAGGTTTATGTGCCGACAGTTTTTGAAAATTATGTGGCCGACATTGAAGTGGAGACCAAGAAGGTAGAGCTAGCTTTATGGGATACGGCAGGGCAGGAAGATTACGACAGGCTACGTCCGCTTTCCTATCCAGACACAGATGTAATTCTGATGTGCTTCTCCATTGATAGTCCTGATAGCTTAGAGAACATACCTGAAAAATGGACTCCTGAAGTAAAGCATTTCTGCCCAAATGTACCCATCATTTTGGTGGGTAACAAGAAAGATTTACGAAATGATGAAAACACCAAGAGAGAATTAAAAAAGATGAAACAGGAACCAGTGAAACAAGAGGAAGGAAGTTCAATGGGTGATAAGATAAATGCCCACTGCTACATGGAATGCTCAGCAAAAACAAAGGAGGGAGTAAGAGATGTATTTAAAGAAGCTACAAAAGCAGCTCTTGAAACAAGGAAAAGGAGACATGGCAAGAGAAAGTGCTGTATATTGTAGAGTTTGGACTTGTTCCCACAGAACTTGCTTAATTTACCCATAGCTATGCTAGAAGTTTCCTCTTCATTGCACACTTTGTTAGGCTGGGGCGGGGAAGTGGGCGGGGAAGTGGGCGGGGGGGGGCTTGCACTGGTAAGGGAGATTTCTTGTTTAGGAATGGAAGGAGAGTTTTTTTAGTTATTAAAGCAAGTATTGTTTGGGAATGAAATGGCATTGTAAACTATTTTATTTGGACTTTCCAACTGCACAACTAAAAGGTAGTGGCAACTTTTTTTTTGACCTTTAACATTCATGTTATTTAACTCTTTTGGATCCACAGTCAATTTTAGACATACAATGTAGGTGCAGATCCAATGCCCTGATCTGATCAGGTGTGACCATTCAAGCAAAAGCATCTCCCACTCATCTGCATGGCTCTATAAAACAGTCATGTGTGACCGCCTATCCAAGATCTGTGTACCCAAATAGTTTCTTTGGCTAGTCAAATCACTATTTCGGTACTCGACGATGGGAATTTTGATTATTAAGTTTTTGTTTTTCATACTAGGATGGATTTCCACTTTTGCCTAATTCGTATGCATGAAAAAAGTAAGGCGCATAAATGAAATAGAGACAAAGCATGAAAGGCTGTGCGTAGTTGAACCTTGTTAAACTTCTATGTTTACAGCTACAGTGTATTTTAAAAAAGGTTGTCGGAAGAAATGGGTTATGATCAATACACTGTTCCCGACCCTGTAGCTGTCAAAACTACTTTTTATTGCTTTCCTTTTGTACTCGCAAACATATGTCCATGGCCTCTCGTGCTATTCTTTCAAATTTCTTTGAAGAACAGTGAACTCAAAACGACCCACAATACCTTTCTGGATTGTTGCGTCCACTTTTTCCGACAACCTTTCTCAAAATAGCTGTATACACAAGTGTTATGTTTATACATAAGGCTGTGCTCAAAGAAAAAATTGAAGGATGCCCAGTGCTCTAAACCTGTGAAATCCAGGGTGCTCAGCATGGGATTTCTACTAAAAAGCTATGATTTTCTTGTCACCCTGGAGCAAAAAATAAGGTGCCTGAAGTTGCCAGTGGGTAGTACAAGGGCACAGTCCTGCATACATAACATTTGCATGTATATAGCGATGCATATAAAAATCAAGTGTCAGTGGTAATCCACCTTATGTGAAAATGAAATTTTTCTAAAATTTGAGATGTGGCCTTGAAGTGTATTGATTTTACAGGTTCAGAAACAAACTGGGGAGAAAAATTTTCAAGTTAGGTTTGGTTGCATACATTTCAAGCTTTTGTTTGAATAGTTTAATTAAGTCAAATACATTTCCATAGTTGTAGATCAATTACGTGCTTTTGATCATAATTATTTGCATGGAAAAGGCACGTTATAAATTTATTATTTTAGTTATTATTATTATTATTATTATTATTATTACTATTATTACTATTATTATTATTATTATTATTATTAACTTTTCCCCATAGGTTTACAATAGGTAAGTGTAGGAAATTGTCTTTGATTTCCTGTGTGTTTAAACCAGGTGGGTCCCAATTTAAGTATGGAATTTAAAAAAAATGATCACTTCCGTTTTTACCAGACTGAAATTCCTTACTAAATTTAAAATTCCAAATTTAATTTTAACAAGTATCAAAAATAAACAGAAGCATGTGAAAGTATTCAGCTGTGGAGGTTTCGGTTTAGTGTACAAATTGCCACACCATAGGAACTTGTTCACAGATTCCCAATTCTACAAACTCATCATCAGCATCAATGTTTCTGAGGGGGAAATGTGTAACCATGCACAAAAGCAAAAAGGAGTGAATGTGCCTCCAACTAAGATTATAAATAGTAACATGCCTTGTAATAAAAATTGTAGCAAATCATAGTTATGTCACGCATCACATACATTAATAATTATTCAAACTTTGGCCTTCTCAATCCACTGATACTTTCTTTATCAGTCAGCTATACACTTTTAAGTTCAGTACATTGCTAGAAGACACATTAATTTTTGATCTGCCATCAGTCAATGTGGCAGGAAATATAGAACTCTTTGAAAGAGGAGTGATACAGAAAAAAATGTTCCAATCATGAACCTCCCAGTCATTTTAAGCCATTTATATAAAAAAAAAAATGAGTTGCTGAGGAATCAATATTATTATGATATGGTCAGAGAAGAACAAGACTACCTGTTGATAAAAACAAATTCAGCGTACGTGTGTTACTGAAAAGTGCAGTAACTTTTCTTTCTGTGTGTTTAATTGACTTCTCGAGACAAAATCAATTGAGTTTCTGTCTTGATTTTGTCTTATTTGACCAAAACATTTACATGAATGGATATTTGTTAGCAGGATATTGTGTAGCGGTCATAGTCTTATCATTTCAACATTTTACTTCAGTTCTCTTGATTTTTGGTTAATCATAAACCTAGAAGGTTTGAAATCTAATATTTTCCGAAAAAAATAATGAGTACTTAGTATTTGCAGTGTTCAAACAATTATATTTTTTCTAGAATTTCAAACCCTTCCAAGGATTTTTTTTTTGTTTAATTTTGTTTTACAAATAAACCAAAACAAATGTTGTTGTATCTTAGGGTGAAGTAGAAACTTAGAGGGATCATAGTGATATTATGTAATCTATGAGTAACTTAGACTGTGATGTGATTACAAGCTTTAGGTTCTTCAGTATGACAACATTGTAACTATGGTTGCAGAAAGTTATACATTTTTTTATGATTTGTGTATGTAATATGAAACGTAACAGATACTGTTGATTTACAGTTCATGAATGGATAATAAAACTTGTTTTTTTGGAAACTGTTGAAATAATAAAATATTGTTATTTTGAGGTTGTGTTGAGATTGGGCCGGGGGGGAGACTCCCGTATAAAAGTGAGGGGAATGTTCGTCGAAAACTTATCATTAAATCCCCAAGGGAGATCAATGTGGGTGTGGTTCAAAAGGAGACCATACTAAAAGATCAGGACATTTTTTTGTAACTTTCTTTTTGCAAGCCCTATAAGTAATACCTGAATGGGCAAAGAGACTTTCCATCGCCAAAAACCTTGAGTGAGACAAAAATCTGCAATTTAGACCCCCAAGGGAGACAGTGAAAATCCCTGTCACTTTTATATGGGATTCCTCCCTACCCCTCCTCCCTCGAGAGACTGGGTCAGTTTTATGTCAAAATTTCACTAGCGGCATGTTGTGGGGGACTAATTTGACTCAGTTTCCTTTGCAACCTTATAACAGTGAATAACAGAGGCAATGGCATCTGGAAGTAGGGAGGGGGTGTGTGTTGGGAGGGGGGGGTACTCCCTATTATGTCCCACACAGGAGGCTCTGCCCAAAAAAGGGTTACCCTTTTTACGGCTTGATGGATATGAAATTGTTGGGATTTCACAAGTTGTAGGGTATGGGAGGGAAGGGAAATTGTTATTTTGGTCTGTAAAGGGACCGATACATTTTATGGCTGTAAAATAGGCACGTTCACTTTGTGGCTTGGTATGTGAGTATGTGAAAGGTAACAACATGACAATAGGAGATACACAAAATTCTCATGTGAAAAAAGCATGCCACGGGCCGTCCCACGGTCCCGGGGGTATCCACAGATCGCGCAGGGTGCCATGGGACACATTTCAACGCGGGAATGTCGATTGCTACGAAATCGATTATTCTCTTGTACCTTTCACGATGAGAACGACAAAATTACATGTAATTCAAAAAAATAGACAAAACGCCAGAAGAAGTTGTACGGAACTTTTCCTTTTATCCTGGAGAAGGAATTTGTTTGTTTTCCTTGGCGGTTGATTCTCGAGGAAACAGCGTGCAAAATGGAGCTTTCAGGTAGTTAAATTAACTTACATAGTTCATCTAGAAGGCTTTTTTTAAAATTTCGTACAGCGCCATTTATTATGCATGCAGCAATTTCATTCTGTTTCACACAATAGCGGTCGAAACGTCTATCCATGTGAATTCGAAATACCTGTATGCATAATAAATACGTGTGTTCTGTCAGAGAGAATCAAGCATGAAATCGCCCTTTGTAAGGGAATCAAACCGTGGATTCCGGATTCCAGATGTTGGATTCCACTCTTTGTCAGTAGAGCTTCAATCCTGGATCCTAATCGTTTGTGGCTTCTGGATTCCTTGACCTTCCCGATTCCAGTAACAAACATAATTCCGGATTCTGGATTCCAGAATCAAAAATTTCCCGGATCGTGTTATCCTCCCTCAAAATATTCCATTTGTCCATCCATTGGGAAGGTATGGATATTTTCTGGAGTGATACATTCCAGAATTCAGATTCTCTTACATGGGGCGCAAATCAAGCAATAAATATGCAGTCATTATTGACCAAACGTAAGGTCGAGATTGTTGTATACAGCTATTTCGAGAAAGGTTGTCGGAAAAAGTGTACACGACAATCCCGTAAGGCATTGTGGATGATTTTGAGTTCTCTGTTCGTCAGACAAATTTAAAAGAATGGGCACAAAAGGCCATAAAAATGTGTTTGCAAGTGCTAACGGAAAGCAACAAAAGTAGGTTCGACAGCTACAGTCGTCAGGAACAGTGTATCGATCATATCCCATATTACCTTTCGGGATTGTCATATGCACATTTTTTCTGACAACCTTTCGCGAAATAGCTGTATTTGTACCATGTTCTTTTCTTGTGTTTTTTGTGGACCACAGCGAAGTTGGGATCATAGAGGAGGGGTTATTTTACGGGCTATGGTTACAATCAACTGTTCTTTGTGTTGTCAAGCAATGATCCTCCCCACAAATGGCTGCTGAGAACCAAACCACATTCCTTTCCTTTTGTGTTTGTGGTCTAATGGACAAACCAATCATGCATCTAGAAATTGACTGTGACGTTAG